TATTTACGTGCTTACCTATTTCTAATGTTTTTTGCACCATGCTTTGGTGGTCTCCTTCAATAAGACCACCAAAACCAAAATGAAACTTACTGCCATCAAGTCAATTCCAAATCATAGTGACCATAACAAGCAGTAAAATGAGAATGGCTGTGTTCCTGCCCACAGGCATCTATATGTTAATACCTCATTGCCATTGAGTTAAATGCTGACTCATAACAATCCTGAAGGGTAGAGTAGAACTGCCCCTGTGGGTTTTTGAGACTTCAACTCTTTATGGAAGTAGAAAGCCTCATCTTTCTTCCAATAAGACCACAGTTATTGAAAATCCTATGGCCCACAGTGTATTCTCCTATGAGGGGTTGCCTGTGTGTCGGAATCCCCCACTATAATGTAAGTTCTATTATGGCAGAGGCTTTGCTATATTCCCAGCAAAGAAAAAGGTTCAAGTTACTCTGCTGATGCCTGAAAACATCTGCTGACTAAGTTGCATTAATGAATGAACAGAGAGTTCAGGTACCTTTGAAATGTCCAAGAGGAGGTGTTCAGATAACGGTTGTATATAAGGGTCTGAACCGAAGAGAAGAGACTGTGCTGAGAGAAGTGTTGGCCTCTTACAGAGGGTATATAGAAAGGGATTATAAATCAAGAACTAGCTTGAAGAACTAATACATTCAATAGTTAATAATGGGAGACAAGATTTCAAAAGAGACTGAGAAGGAGTTGATAGAAAATTTATTATTGATGTGTTATTAAAGTATAATATAGTTATTAAACTACGAGGATCCTTGGTGGCCTAGTGGTTATGTGTTGGACTACTAACTGCAAAGTTATCAGTTTGAAACCACCAGCTGCTCCTCAGGAGAAAGACAGGGCTTTCTACTCTCGTAAAGGGTTAGTCTTGGAAACTCACAGGGGCAGTTCGACCCTGTCCTTTAGGGTCTTTATGAGTTGGCATCAACTCGATGGCAGTGAGGTATTAAATTATAGATGCTTGAAGGCAGGATCACAGCCATTTCCGACTTCCTAACAGTAAAAAGCCTAGCTCATAATTGGAACTGTAAGGAAAGATGCTGAGTTGAAGAATATGAATAAAGTATCTCTAAAGCAAGACAAGGAAACCGCTGGGTGGTTCAAACAGTTAAGTGCTCATCTACTAGCTGAAAGACTGGTGATTCAAACTCATGTAGAGGCATATGAGAAGACAGGCCCGGAGAACTGCTTCCTGAAAGTCATGGTCTTCAAATGCTTATGAACACTTCTACTCTGCACAAACGGCATTTCCCTGAATAGGGATCAACTCAACAACAATTAACAACTCTAAAATAGTCACTCTAATTTCTTCTGTTCCATGAGGCAAAATCAATTCAATGGCAATGAACAATAACAAAGGAAGATATGATCTAATTTTAAATTTCAAGTCAACTAACCACATACAAGTAGCAATACAAAAGCATACACAATTCCAGAATCATCTGCCATCAAGCTTTGTAAATAATATTTCCCACAGCCAAAGCAAAACTTTTCATTGTATAAAATCTAAGTAAACTCACAAAGTTGTTTTCTGATACTTAACGACTTTTCCTCTTATTAATAACTTCCTTTTCTTTAAAAAAAATATTTTTCTTATTATTATGAATTCAGTGAAAGTTTACAGAGCAGACCATTGGTTTTCCACTCAATAATTCTGACACATTGGTTTCATTTCAGCCATCATAATCCTCACAGTGAGCCATCACTTCCTCCATTTCATTTCTGTGTTGTCTATTTCCTTTTCTCTTTCTGTCCAAACCTTCTGGATTTACCCTTTGGGTAAATGCTGCCCTTTTGATCTCAAAGGGTTGATTATTCTAAGGTGTGTGTACTTGACTCGTGTTAGTATTCTCCTTATAGGCCTGTATATTGTTTGGTTGAAAACCGAGTCATGGGAATGAGTTCCCTTTCAGACCCAAAGGTTAACCACGGTCTCTGAGGTTCCACAGGTGGAACCTGACCACTATTGTTTTTATAATTTAACTCCCTTTTCTTGTAAAACAAATCCTTCATTCAACATTTACCTTGTCAGGATAGAAAATGCTATTCCCCCCAGTGAAGTTTTTACAAGCTTAGTCTTCATCACTGTACGAATTTTCTTCAGGCCATAAACTATCTTGATCATTTTTTACCTACCTACCTACCTACCTAACATAATGCCTGGCATTTAATAAATCCTCACAAAACAGCTTAAAGATTACATATGCACACAATTTTCTTTTCAGTTCATACAGACATTTAATAAGGACTTATCATCAGAAAATCCAGCAAATCATCAAGCTTACTCCAAAATAGATGCTGTAAAATTTGCTGCAGCAAATAAAGACAGTAAGATTCTGAAATATGGCACATATTAACAAGTATGTAGAATCTCTTGCTTTCTCTAATAAACTAAACAACAGTGTGTCTATAATACAAGGCAGTTGGCTGCTCCCTTTACGTTTTAAATTGGGTTCAATTATGTTCATCAGTTTATTTCTCATCCTCTCCTATGACTGAAGTCCCTGAGGCAGAGAATGCCTATCACTCCCTAATGGTACCGGTGACAATGACTCCTACAGTGTAATATTCAATTAATATTTAGTGAATGAGTAAATGATGGGCATTGTGAGTAGTTATCGCCTACTTTCTAAACCCACACATCCTTGTTTCTTAAACAAAACTAAGTTAAAAAATACTTAAACTTCCTGGCTATCAATTTTCTTAATACATGTACTATGACAAAGATCTAAAAATACAGAATCATGAAAACTATGAGTTTCACTATTTATTACCTGATTCTAAATTTGAAGTATTCTTTGGTTTTGGAAAAAGGTTTCGGTCTGCTAATGTCATCACCCTATAACAAGGACAAAATAGTGGTATTTTCTCATTTTTCATTAACTTTCAAGAACCTCATATAATACTTAAAATCAAGATATTTTTCAATTACCTTGTAGGAAAACACACAAGTGGTTGAAAAAAATGTTACTATATGTGAAAATAGTTTAATAAAATCAATATACTTAATCATTTATCAGTTTGATACACTATTCACAGAGGAAAAGACACCGTGTTTAGAATCAGATCTGAGTTTCCATTCCAATTCTGTTATTTATAGTTGAGAGCCTCTGTGAAAGTTATTTGAATGCCTTGGTCTTGGTTACCTCAGTTATGCAAAAAGGAGAGAAATCTTACTTCCTAGAATTCCCGTGATAAGAATTCCTAGTAACATCAGGGATAATATTTTTTAACACTAATACCATTTTTCTGTTTTGCATGTCAACCAATGATGCCCCTTATCCATTCTATCCAAACATATGAGAGGATTAGCTATTACAAAAGGAATATGAACAGGGAGGGGAAAAAAAACAAAGCTCAGCCTTAAAATGAGTCCCTAACACAACAGTGGAGTTGAAAAGCAGATGTGTGGAGTTTCTAAATCCCTATGACTGGTTCCTTCAGCTGCTGAAGTGAGCAATCAGAAAACAACTTATTTTTTTGCTACAAGAATGAACAAATCTGCCTTGGAGGAAACACATTTCCAGTTTACCGTATTCAGTGTCTAACAGGATTGACAGTATAATATGCCCTTTGGGCGTGATGGATAACCAAATGCTGCATCTAAAATGGCAAGGATTTTAAGGACTCTTTGGAGGTTTCCCTGTCACTGAGATGCTCTCATTTCCAGCTATTTGATAACGTTTGCATTTGATCATACCCTTCCAGCCTCTTTTGGTTGAGCTTATTTTGCCTTTTGCAGGAAACCATACTTCGACTCTGTTATTCTTTTTCCTACAGTGGAGAGCGCGAATGGAGTCCCCCCCACCACAAATTATGCAGTCCAGTTTCCACATTTGGGGAAATTGCGGGGGTCAGCACATCTGGAGTGCAATGGATAATAAATAAGCCTTGCCCTGGGAAAACCACCTTTTGATCATGCTATCTCCCCTGCCAGGTATTCTACTCAGCTATTAATAAGGTTATAACTAGTAGTACTATAATGAAATGAAGACTTTATAAAATAGTATTGTTGCTAGTATTCATATAATCAGAGAAATATTGCAGTTAAGCAACTTCCAATGCTATTCATCACATCCCATTATTTTCATTAATAATAAACATTACTAAGCATTTTGTAGGATCTGGTATAGGAGACCTTCATGGTAGGGGTGACCCCATTAGTTATAATGCTAGGTGACATCAACTAGTAGTACATGACTATAGCACTCAGTAGTTTCTACATCTGTTCCATCAGCATTCCTTAGAATGGGCATGACTATGGATCTTGTTCAGTTATTTGACCAGGTAGATCTCTTCCAAATTTCTTGCCACAAATGTGTGAGCACTTTCAACACTGCATCAATTTGTTTATATGTCTCAATTGGTATTCTATCAATTCCTGGAGCCTTGTTTTCAACCAATGCCTTTAGAGCAGCTTAGACTTTCTTCAGGATCATCAGAGGTAACTACTAATCTACTTTCTATCTCCATAGATTTCCTATTTGGTATATTTAATATAAACAGAATTACAAAATACATGGTCTTTTGTGACTGCATTCTTTCATGTAACAATATTTTCAAGGTCTGTGCTTTTTTTTTTTCAAGGTCTGTGCTTATTGTGGCACTTAATCAGTTCATTTTGATTGCTAAATAATATTCCACTTATTCCAAATAAACTTATTTTATTTATCCATTAACCGAAAACCAACATTTCACTGCCAATGAGTCAATCCTAATTCATATTGATCCCTTGTTGGCTTCTGAGACTGTAACTGTTTAAGGGAGTAGAAAGCCCAGTCTTTCTCCTGAGGAGCTGCTGGTAGTTTCAAACTGCCAACCATGTGGACTGTAGCCCAACACATAACCACTATACCACCAGGGGTCCTTCATTTGTGTGGGGGAGGTCAGATGCACAGGTCCCCCCCCCCTCCACCACAAGAGGGCAATCAGTTGCCAGACTGCAGTGGGCCCTGCTCCCTGCCTCTGGGTACAATGGACAGGCTCCTGTAGGTGGAGTTTACACCCTACTGATAATGGTTCCTATGGAGACCCAGGAAACAGGCCGAGGTTGAGCTCCTGAATCTGGGATCCACCCACCTTGTCACATGTATACCCCTGTCCCTCCTCTTCCTGTTGCTTGTATGTCCCTGGACCACCCCCTCATTACTGTGTAACCTATAGTGTAACCCCTTCCTGTGATGTATGTCTCGATCTGTAATTGGTGGGCTGGCATGCCTCCCAAAAGGTATATAGGCATGGGTCAGCAATATAGAGCTCTCTTACCTCTCTACCCCCTCTCCTCTCCCATCCTCTCTCCCTTGTTCCCTTGCTCTCCTTCCCTTCCTCTTCTCTCCACGTGGACCACCAAGCTGGGCTGAGGTGAGCAATGCTACCATGTAATGTGTCTGACTGCATTATTGTATCTCTCATGTTCTTGATGACTTTAATATAATACTTCTATATTTCAACCGTACAATTGTGCTTACTGAACCTGTGGGTAGTAGCAGCGGGTGGGGCTGGCCCCTCACCCCCCCATCTCCCCAAATTTAATTTAATACTACATTCAGCCATTAATCAGTTGGTGAATATTTCCCCCCCCTACTTTTGGGCCATGGTTATAAGTGGAATTGTGTCCCTAAAAATGCATTGCAAAGTCTACTTTCTATAGAAGACTTGATGACAGTAAATTTATTTTACTTTTTGCATGTAGTTTTAATCCCATTTGGGAATGAATTTTCCTTGTTATGTTATTGATGCAATAGCAGTGTAGGTGTGGTTTGAGTCAATCTTTTTTGAGAGATTAAAGAGGTGAGCAGAAATGTGGGTGGATAGATATTAAGCCACCTGGAGATCTCTAAGGAATCAGGAAACAGAAGCTGAAGAGACAAAGATCTTTCCTCAAAGCTCACGTTGTTATTGCTGTTAGGCGCCATCAATTGGCCACCCAAAGTGACCCTATGCCCCACAGAATGAAACAGTGCATGGTCCTGCTCCATCTTTACAATTATTCATATGCCTGAGCCCACTGATGAAGCCACTGTGTCAAAGCATCTCATCGAGGGCCTTCCTCTGTTTCGCTGCCCCTCCACGTTACCAAACATGATGTCCTTTTCCTTCTCTGGTCTCTCCTGACAACATGCCCAAAGTATATAGAACAAAGTCTGTGATCCTTGTCTCCAAGGAGCACTCTGGCCTTACTTTTCCCAAGACAAATCAGTTTGTCATTTTAACTGTATATGGTACTTTCAAAATTCTTCTCCAGCAACACAATTCAAATACATCAATCCTTCTACAGTCTTCCTTATTCATTGTCTAATTTTCACATGGATATGAGGCAATGGAAAATACCATGGCTTAGGTCAGGCACACCTTAGTCCTCAAAGTAACATCCTTGCTTCTCAATACTCTTAAGATGTCTTGTGCAGATTTACTTAATGAGCAATGGTTGTGGATCTAAGCAAAAGGAAATCCTTCACAACTTCAACTTTTTCTCCATTTACTATGATGCTACCTATTGGTCCAGTTGTGAGGATTTTGATCTTCTCTACATTGAGTTTTAATTCAAACTGATGGATACAATCCTAGATCTTCATCACAAGTGCTTCAAGTCCTCCTCACTTTCAGCAAGCAATGTTGTGTCACCTGTATACCACAGATAGTTAATAAGCCTTCCTCAAACCCTGATGCCACATTCTTCTTCATATAATACAGTTTCTCTGATGATTTGCACATACAGATTGAATAAGTATGATGAGAGGATACAACTCTGATGCACACCTGTCCTGATTTTAAATGGCCTTGTTCTATTAGCACAACTATCTCTTGATCCATGTATAAGTCTCTCATGAGCACAATGAAGTGTTCTGGAATTCCCATTCTTCACAAGGTTATCCACAACTTATTATGGTCCACACAGTTGAATGCATTTGCATAGTTAGGGAAACACGAGTAAACATCTTTCTGGTATTCTCTGTGTTGAGCCAACATCCACCTGACATCAGCAATTATATCTCTTGTTCCATGTCCTCTTCTGGATCCCGCCTGAACTTTTGGAAGTTCCCTATTAATGTCTGTCAATGTGCTGCTGCAACCATTGTTGGATGATCTTAAGCATTTAAAGATCAGAGCTGACAAAGAAAACCTTCCTTAGATGTACAGAGGCCACAGCTGACCTCCTCTGGCTACAGAAAGGAAGAGAATTCATATCTACTCAAGAGATGATTCCTATGAGACTGGTCAGACATACTTCTATCCTCCAACCTTCTTTACCTTATCTGACACCAACTGGCCATCCCACTTTACTCTGTTAGGTTCAATACTCCTTACAAATTTTAAGGATACGCTTCTTTTGTTTGCAGCAATTTCAGCTATGCTCTGGTATGACTCTTGTCCTCAGCCTCTCAGACATGCAGTTCCTTGGCCTTTGCCTGCTTGGACAAGTGTTATAAAATTTATTTAACATTGTTAAACGTGCAAAGAGCACCCCACTCTGCAAGTGAGTCTTGTGTCCAAAGGTACTCAGCGTGGTTTCAGTTTCCTTCCTGCTCTTCTGCCTACTCTGGAATGCATTTCACCCTTGGCCTGCCTTTCTGATTCACTTTCTACCAGTCAAATGGCAAACTGACCAATCCCCCTCCATTAGTGTTCCACACATCCTATTTGCATGGTCCCAACACAATCACTTGGTAGGAGTTACAACGGCTATGGGTAGAAGAACCATATTAAGTAATTTCACTTCATTGTACATCCCCTAAAACTGGTGAACTTAACTAGGACTTCTTGCTACCTAACTATGAGCAAAGAAATTTTTGTTGGTTAAAGCCAGTATTTGTGGTATTTCTGTTATAGAAGCATTCCATAACTAAAACTATTATGATTAAAATTGTTGTAAATATTCACATACAAGCTTTTGTATAGATATGTCTTTTTTGCACAACTTGTTGGCTTTTGAAGGAGCACTGGTGGTGCTGAGCATTAGGCATTGGGATTTGCTCATTGGCAAAAAGATGAAGCTGCCTACTCATAAAAATTTACAGTCTTACATGTAGGGTGATGCTGAGTTTAAATTAACTAGGTAGCGGGGAATTTTTAGTTTTTTATTGACTTTTTGGCCATTTGAATCCCTTTGCTGGAGAAGTGTCCATTCAAATCACTTGCCCATTGTTTAAATGGGTTGTCCACTGAGTTATAAGAGTTCTTCATATGTTCTTGATTAAAGTTCCTTATCACATATATGATAT